TAGAGCCACTTAAAAGTTCAATCCAGCATAAAGCAGGGAAAACCAGGGATACCAGGGATGGAAAACCATTGGCTGTACCTACTTATACCTATAATAAATGCAATCTCTCTCTCTCTCTCTCTTCATCTCTCTCTCTCTCTCTCTCTCTCTCTCTTTCTGAGGATTTCCTCAGGCATTGCCCTGGTGATCTGAGTGCTTAATTATACATGACTTCAGAGTTAATTGAAAGGCTGTGTGAGTGTGTACACACGTGTGGAGTTCAAAGACTTCCCTGCTTCACCAAGACTTGATTGTGTTCACTGGCTGAATTTGGACAGACCATCATCCACTATGAATTTGGTCAGCTTCTTTTGATCTTATAAAAACAATTCACAGATGTTTACTGTCCACAAATGCTGATGGCAAAATGGCAAAACTGATGAGAGCAGTGTTCACAAAAATAATATTCTTCATAGTAGCATTCTGAAAACAATAAAGCTATAAGTAGAGCAGTGTGTGTGTGTGTGTGTGTGTGTGAGAGAGAGAGAGAGAGAGAGAGAGAGAGAGAGAGAGAGAGCGCAGAGCTGCAGAGTAAGCAATACTAAGCAAGGGCGTTCAGTGTAAGCAACCGCATGAAATAATGCAACACAATCTCTTTGTACGACAAATTGCACATTCAAAGGAAACACTATATCAAGGAGAAAAAAAACAGTTTCTTATTCTTTATTGTCAACATGCAATGTACAGTCTGATCTCTGCAGTAAGCAGACACGCACACACACACACACACATCCACGCACACACACACACACATCCACGCACACACACACACACACACACACACACACACACACATCCACACACCCATGCACACCCCACATGCGCAGTCACAGTCATTTGTATACATATATATATATATAAGAACAGTAGCGAGAAGAAGAGTAAAGAAGAGAAGAAAAGAGTAAAGAGAAGAGTAAAGCATTGAAGAGAAGAGTAAAAAAGCGAAAAGAGGAGAAAAAAAGTAAAAAAGAGTGAAGAATAGAAGAGAAAAGAGAAGAGTAAAGAAGTGAAAAAGAGTAAGGAGAAGAAAAAAGAAGAGTAAAGAACAGTAAAAAAGAAGAAAAGAGTGAACAGAAGAGAGGAGAGGAGTAAAAAAGAGTAAAGAGAAGAGTAAAGAAGAATAAAGAAGAGAAGAGTAAAGAAAAGAGAAGAGAAAAAATGAGTAAAGAAAATAAGACTAGAGAAAAGAATAAGGAAAAGAAGGAAGGAGATGAGAAGAGAAAGAGGAAAAGAGAAATAGAAGAGAAAAGAAGGATGGAGAAGAAAAGAAAAGAGAAAGAGTGACAAGAGAGAAGTAAAGAAGGGAAGAGAGAAAAAAGAAGAAAACAATGGAGGAGATTAAAAAAGAAAAAAGCAGAGAAGAACAGAGAAGAGAGGAGAAAAGAGACAAATAGAGAAGAGAAGAACAGAGAACAGAAGAAAAAAGAATGCAGAAAAGAATACAGAAGAAGAGAGAAAAATACAAAAGAGAAGAGAAGAGAAGAAAAGAGAAGAAAAGAAAAGAGAAGAGAAGAGGATCTAATGCTGTAATGCAGTAACAGCTACTCACTCCAAATATCTGAAAGAACTTGCGGATTAAGAAGTTTTTAAGAAATTTAGCAAAAAAGTTCAACAAACCTGTAGAAAAGAACAGAAAGGTCTAGAGTGTCTATGCACAAAGTTTTGTCCATTCACCATGCTTTCATGTAAATATTCATTGGATAGCTTATATTTAGCTCTACGTACTGTACACATAATCAGTTTAATATTTTATATCAGGCCTTAAAGATCACACATGCAGAAATCAAAACTAATCCTGTAAATGAACAAACAATCAAACTGTAGCACTTTAAAACAGGGAACAACAATGGTGCTGACTGTCTGCTCATAGGAAATCACTGTTCACCATCAAGTAATGGAATATCATGCTCCTGTGGACTACATAGCCCTTCAACAGCTGACTCTCTAAAGAAAACTTCATCTACACTAAGACTTGTTCTGTGTTGTTCACTGTGAATGTAAGCTTTTATTGTTGTTCCATAGGTACTGTACAGCAAGACTGATGTGGTCCATTTTAGCATAAATAAATAAATAAATAAATGACTGAATGAATGAAAGAAAAAAGAAAATGTGTCTATTAGGCCAGACCACACTTATCCAACATTTTCCAAAATACTGCACCATTCTAATATTGACATTCGACTTTACGCTGTTCAATAATTAGAACTTACAAGCCAAACTGACAAATCAACCAGTGTTCAGAAATGTATAGTCTGATTAAATTCAATCAAATTTCTGATTCCATGTGAGCTGTTTATAGGTACCATGCCTCTGATGAAAATACCCAACTATATACATTAAATGCAGGGGTGGAAATGGCCAGGTTTTACAGGGGAACCCAATATCTAGCTCTTTGAATGTTAAAAAACATCACTCAGTTTAGTTCATAAATTATAGACATATTCTAAAAATTTAAATGAACAGCATGAAAAACATCTCTTAAAATTTAATGGCACTTTCAACAAGGCAGAGGTAGGCAAAACATCTAATGCTTGTCAAAACACTATTTCAACCAACATACTAAATATCCAGCCTGTAAAAATGTATCGTGTCCAGTTACTTTCACCTTAGATGAGTTGATATCATAGACTGTATATATTTATATACATAGTTAACTTGTAAAGAATGGCGGACATAGCAGGCTAGTCAGCTCAATATCAGTCATTACTCGTCATTGCTCCACTCAGGTCACTTTGGCTAACATACTAATTTATCTTGGACATTTTAAACTGAACTCACTGACAGAAATGTTCAACAAAAAAAACATGAATCAGCAAAAAATATCAGTTACATCAAGAAGACTAGATTAAACTAATGCTGCCAAGATCTGAGGAAATTCTAAAGTGAACCACCACTTTTCATCCGATTGTGGAGTTTCTTGGCTACTTTTATGTTCCAAACACAATGCATGTGTCACCATGTCTTACCATGGAGACTGCAACAGAGAACTGAGTAAAACAACTATACATAGTTTCCCAGTGAATTGGCTGGAGTGCAGTTCCATTCCAGCTTTTACTCTTTTACTTTTAACGGGGTTAGTATGTGTTCTGGCCCATTTCCACCCATGGCTACATGTAATCCAAACTAATCTCTGCGCATGTGTGAAGTTACCATAAACCAAGAAGCGTATGAGTTCAGCATGTTTCCAAACTTTTGTTTATTGTTTAATTTTTCTTTCCTTTTTTTTTTATATATAATATAATTTTATTTAATGCCAATTCCATCCGCTAGTTAGGACTCCCCCAATCGCACAATACTATTAACGCTAGGAGGGTGAAGGCTAACACAGGCTTCCTCTGAGACCTGTGAAGCCAGCCACCGCTTTTTATTGAACTGCCACTCACACAACGTCATTGGACAGCTGAACGCGCTCGGAGGAAAGTGCCAGTTCTGTTATGTCAGCTAACAGACGCCTGCGCTGACTAGCATCGCGTTAAGTGATGGGGGTAGAAGGAGGGGCCATCCTACCCACCCAGAGAGAGCGAGGCCAATTGTGCTCTCTTGGACTCCCGGCTACGGACGGCTGTAACATCACCAGGGAACTCATGATCTCCTGATGATAGGGCCAACGCTTAGATGGTTGAGCAACTCGGGAGCCCCCACTCATTTTTTTTTAAATATGTAAGTTTGAACAAATCTCATGCAGCCTACATAAGTTATGTAGCCTACACTTTTTTGTATTCATCTGTTTAAATGTTCTCTACAGATCAGCAGAACCCACCATCTCTGATTTGATCAAAGACTTGCTAGAAGAGATCACTGTTATTAACATTTTGTGCATCCAATCAATCATTTATTTCATTTTTGTTGATTTTCACACAATCTTCTCCCTAATTCCAACCATCTGGCACATGGATCATCCAAGACACACGACACAGCAATATCTTTTTCAAACTGGTGCTAATGCAACGTCATAGAACAGCTCAGCGCATTTGGAGAAGAACATTAACTGCCAATTTTATTACCTCAGTGAACAGACGGCTGCGTAGGAACCATCCTGTGGCCCCTGACAAGAAGGCTGTCTCAGATCTTTGATATGCTATATGGACAAAAGTATCGGGACACCTACACATTATACCTACAGGAGCTTTAATGACATCCCATTTTAAATCCATAGGCATTAAAATGAAGTTGGCCCCCCCTTTGCAGCTATTACAGCTTCCACTCGTTTGTGAGGTCAGACACTGATGTTGGATGAGAGAGCCTTTGTAAAGGTAGACTGTATGGCTAGGTGCTTGATTTTATACACCTGTGGCAATAGGACTGAACAAAGCCCCCTAAAATTAAGGATTAAGAGGTGTGTCCCATTACTTTTGTCCATATAGTGTACCTTAAATATGCTTTGAGGGCATTGAATGTTGCTAAGACAATCCTGTGATGGAACGCAACTCACATTTTTTTTGTTGTTGTTGTTTTTTTTAAGGCGGTGGATGGAAGTAGTGCGGCAAGCAGCCTAGCAAGTTATTCTAATTTTCTGTGGTGTTTTATTTGTTTTCTTGTCATAAAGGTGCTGTACAAATAGCCTTAGTTTGCAATTTAGGTCTGTCAGTGAGCATTTTTTGGACACCAAGGCAGATTTTGAAGCCTCAGGCTATTGACTTGAACAGCCAGCTGGCTAACAATCTTGTTGGCTAACAACTATTTGGACTATGATTTTTGCACTCACATATTCATCCTGATTTAGGTGTTTCTATTGTAATCCCTATATTAGTCAGGTAATTAGAGGTTTATAAGGATGCTTGAAAACACACCCCGCCAGTGTGAATGGGGTGAGAACATTCTAGGGTCTCTCAACTATCACATACAGGTACAGCACACCGACTCAACAGCTGGGTTTGCTGGTGTTTGTTGGAGAATACTGGGTCAGTGTGCTCTGGCCTTAAGAAAAAAACAATAATATATAATACATAAACAACTTCAATTTCAAAAACAACTTATTTTAGAACAACAAGTTCTAAAATACTCAGAAACATTCTATACAATGATTTTGAAAATCACCAGCAGGTGTTACTCGTCTGCAAGCCCACAGTTGGTTGTGCGCTTGGTTCAGGGACTGAAAGCTCTGGAAGACTCAAAGTCTGACAGACATTTGGGCTTTATGCCTTTACTGTTGTAATAATCCACCACCTGATTGGGCACCTCAGCCAGAACACTCTTCGCCAACGCCGCGGGAGATGCCTGAGGGTGAGAGAGAGAGAGAGAGAGAAAGAAAGAGAGAGAGAGAGAGAGAGAGAGAGAGAGAGAGAGAGACAGACAGAAAGGGAGAGAGAAAGGATGGAGGGAGAAAGAGAGATATATAAACAAAATAATCTTAGTTAGGTTGATTGTTAATTGCTTTGTACCACTTATGCTAAAAAACACTGTTGAAATGTAATGAACCGAGAGAAATAATGTGATAATTTAAATTGAAATTTCAAGTTTACTTTCTAAATGTTCTACATGCTTGTTCTTGTTATTTTATTGATGGTTTGGCAATATTATATCTATTATTGTATATATTTATTTAAATATGGCAATGCCAATAAAGCTTAATTGAACTGAACTAAACATAGAGTGAGAGACAAGCAGAAAAAGAGAGAGACAGAGAATGAAAGAGAGATGGAAAGAGAGTGAGATGGAAAGAGAGTGAGAAAGAGAGAGTGAGAGTTGCAGACAAAAAGGGAGAGACAGAAAGAGACGGACAGAAAAAGGAGAGAGAGAAACAGTGAGACAGATGGAAAGAAAGAGACAGAGAGACAGACTGATGGGGAGAGAGGTAGGGAGACAGAGACAGACAGGAAGATAGAGAGACAGAAAGAGATACAGAGAGCAATACATAAAGAAGAGTGAGATATAGAAAGAGAAAAAGAGAGTGAGACAGAGAGAGAGAAAAAGAGAGTGTCAGAGCAGAAGGAGAAATGAAATCTAACACTCCGTGTTGTTCTGGAGGTGAAGTGGTGTAGGTGTCACTCTCATTTCTCTCCGTCCACAGAACAGCTAGAGCGAGACATGAGACGCAGCGGGATCGCACTAAAAATAAACAAACACATGATGGGCAGTGTGTGTGCTTGCCTCACACACACACACACACACACGCACAGCAGCACTTGCCCGGCATTCATATTAAAACCTTCAGAACTCACGAGCGGTGTGATATTTATACATTGTGTGATTCTGCACAAGTTGACCTGAAGTAGCCGGTTTCATTTCACAGTGGCACTCCACTCCATAATAAAATGCCAAAATCCCACCGCTCCTGCTTTTCAGTGACCCTGAGGTCTAATAGACCCTCTCAAAGTCAGGGATAACTTCAAAAGTTGGAACAGAATAAATCAAAAAGCACAAGAGCACAGTAAAAAATGACTGTAGCAAATTACAGCGTGTGGTTTATTTAGCGAACAGCGGCTGCTGACCACTTCAGAGAAACAGTGGGTTTACCCTGCCTGTCTGAGTGTGTCTGTGTTCAGAAACTGCCACTATTTGGTTGTTCTGGTTCTAATGACATGCCAAATTCAATTACACACACCACAGCTTCCTCTGATATACAGCAGCACTGCTGATGGGAGAGAGAGACGGGCTCATCCAAGCTTTCCAGTAGACGCCACTTCCTGAGTATGATGGCTCATGTAATTAATTACTACAAGAGCGTATTAGCACAGAGGCACAAAATCCATGAGCAGAATCCATAACAGCAATAAACAGCACTCATTCAATCATTGTTCATACACTAGAGCTGTTCTTGGGCACTTACACCAAACGTTCTCGGCTAACAGACATGAATACCAGGTATATTGCAAAGCTCGATTCAGGGTATCTAAGTCCACACACCTCCTATACTTAGTGAAATTAATCAAGGCATTCAACAGTGCACATACAGTTTGTATAATATCCATAGAAAAGCATGGGACACTCTGGAGCAGCCACACGAGTCTAAGATCGTCATGCTCGATGCCAAGTGTCAGCTAAAGGGGAATAAACCCCCCCAGCATTGGGCTGTGGAACAGGGGAACTGCGTTCTCTGGATGAGCTCCATCCAGTACCTTTGGGATGAGTTAGAGTGGCGTTTGTGATCCAGAACTAATTACCCAACATCAGTATCTGACCTCACTAATGCTCTGGTGGTTGAATGCAATCAAATCCTCACAACAAAGCTCCAACAACTAGTGTAAAGCCCTCCTAGCATAGTAGAGGCTGCTAATGCAACAAAGGAGGACAAACTCACTATTAACACCCATGATTTCAAAGTCAAAGCTCATTCATGTGCACAAAAAGCAACAAAAATCTTACCAGCATGTTGTGCACAGCAGATTTCAGCAATAGAACACACAATTTGTTTACTGATGTTGCTTCCAGAGGCAATTCGGAACTCTTTAGTGAGTGATTCAACAAAGGATAGGCACTGTGTGCTTCAGCACTCGGCGGTCCCACTCTGTGAGTTTGCATGGTCTACCGAAGCGGTAGCTAAGCTGTTGTTGCTCCTAGACGCTTCTATTTCACAATAATAGCACTTATAGTTGACCGGGGCAGATCTAGCAGTACAGAAATTTCACAAACTGGCTTGTGGCAAAGGTGGCATCCTATGACAGTGCCATGTTTAAAGTCACAGAGCTCTTCAGTATGACCCGTTCTACTGCCAGTATTTGCCTATTGAAACTGCAAGGCTATGTGCTTAATTTTATCCACCTGTTAGCAAAGGGTGTGGCTGAAACAGGGCTGCAGAGTGCTGAAGCATGTAAAAATTGCCTGTCCTCTGTTGCATCGCTCATTACAGTTTCAAACTGCCTCTGGAAGCAACATTAGCACAAGAACTGTGCATGCCGAGCTTCATGAAATGGGTTTTTGGCCATATAGTGTATTTAGAGTATATGTGCAAATGTACCTTAACAGGCTTTTCACAGTGAACTTAGTGATGAATGGGAAACCATAAGGCATTTTGTTTCTGTACTGTGATGAATGTCCACATGAAATACAGTGTCAGGGAGGGTCTCTAAGCTAAGAGTGTTTTCTCTCAATGACAGGTGGAGAGTGGTGGGAGTGGGAACTGAAACATGATATTATTGGTCATTATTATTTTTCCCTGTCCTCTGGTTTGCAGTGACATAATCAAAACTCAGAATACATTTTTTGAGGCAGGCAAAAGTCATTAAATTTTGATCGATGATTACACACCTTAAAGAGATGGTTCTTCAAGGGTTCTTTAGTAAAGGGAATGGTTCTATATAGAACCATTTCATGCTTAAATGTACTACACAGAACCATTTTCCATCAATTTGAAGAATGATTTCACCATGCAAAGATCTTTTAAAAAAAATCTTTTAAAAAGGAAAACAATTTTGTCTTTAAAATGGTATAATATGATTATTAATTATAATATCAATATGACCTAGCACATGGACTAACAAAGTATAGGGACAATTTTGATTTCAGGTTGACTTTAATGAACCTCTTTTATAAACTACTTCCTTACCTTACAGAAAATGTTTTATTTAATGTTGTTTTAATCATTTGTAAAAAATTCTACAGTCCTATAAGTGACAGTTATAAGTACATCTAAAAAAACACCAAATGTGGAAAGTATAGCTTCATGATACTCCAACTCTGTGTGATGCTCTTTAATTCCTTTTCATCTCAGCTTTGTAATCCCTACAGAGCTTTAGCAATTTTCTAAACACTCTTCAGGTCCAGCTTCTTTTAGACTTTTACACTTTTCATGTTCACATAAGTGTAGCTGTTAGTTCTGTGTTTACATTCCATGCTTTTTACTTTGCCCTTTGCTCCATTACACAAAGAGTCTCTGAGACGTATTTTAACTTCCACCAGTTCTAAATCTTCATACCAAACAAACATGTTGACCTTCAAAAAAGTCTCCTCTTACAGTGTAAAAGCCTGAGGCACCAAACTTGTAAGCTTCTGGTAATGCCAACCTACACACTTAAAAAGATGGTTCTTTAAGGGTTCTTTAGTAAAGTGTTCTATATAGAACCATGAACACTTAAAGAAACCTTTGCATGATTAAAAGGTTCTTTATATTGTGAAATGTTGTTAGCCTATGTTTTTCCACCTGGGGGTACTGTCATTGTGTTTGTGTGTGTTGAAAATTGAGCTAAAATCACACAATGTATGCTACGGCGGAATGTTTAAAGTGATCAACCACTTTGTGTCTGACTGCCACCACATCAGCAACACTTCTCTGTGACCCGCAGACCCTCCTTCACGCCAGCTTGAGCCATTTATTCATTGCAGTGTACATTAGGCTTAAGTCACACAGTATCAGGTGGTACAGAATGTTGGTATCAGTGAATATGAGTACAGATAAATGAGTGGTGTGAACAAAGCAGTTAAGTGATATTCTACATTTGGAGATGTTCTGGGTGTTGAGAGGGAAATCAAATCATCCAAGTGCAGCAGAGAAACACGAAATGGAGAAAGGCAAAACGTTTGTCACTACGCTACAAAGCTAACTTTATTTTTTCTGTGCGAACAGAGTGCTGCTAATTTAAAAATACATCTATAATGCCTTTTTCTGTCTTTTCCTAAAGCCCCACAATCACAAAATCCGCCCCTAGTGATGGGGGTAGAAAGGGTTTACCTACCCACCCAAAGTGAGGCCAATTATGCTCTCTTGGACTGTCGACTACAGATGACTGTAGCTTAACTGGGGATTTTACTCACCCTCTCCTCTAACTAACACTTGTACAACTTAACCAAACAATTTGAGAAGACCAAGAAATTTGGATTGGAAACAGTCAAAAACTAATTAAGGCTCTTTTAGACCCAGTCTCAACTCGATCTCGACTAGTCATAGTCTTGGACGTGTCTTGGACTCGGCAAAGGTGGTCTTGACCAAAGCCTGCCTAGGAGCCTAACCCTTAACAACTACATACATCATAAAAATGGATTTAGATCAATTACAGAGAGAAACAACAACAACTAGTGTATAGTAACTGCACAGACTGCATAGAAATAAGTAGCTGACTGAATTTCAGTCTATTATATTTTTACCAACTGGTTGATTTTTCCTCCCATTGCTTTGTAAATAATTTATTTTTGCAAATGTTGAACTAAAAACAATCATTGTACAGTGTTTACATGTAGCTCTACTGTTTTGCTGGTGCGTACTGTCTCTTCCAACTTCACAAACCAAGAGTAACATTGTGATGAATGATCACGTATTGAATGACACAATATCCAGGTGTCTTATTTTGAAGTCTCCTTCAAGCTATGGATGAGAAAAGTTGTGAACTGTGTGTGAACTTCCCTGCAGTAAAAATCTTACGTGACAATCGCTGCTACAGCGCTGAAGTGGAGGTAAGTAGCACGCCTAGCTGAGCACAAACAAACCCTTCCCTAATGAAGATGAAGAGGCAGGCGTGTTCTACACAAGCGCTTTCACACACTTTAATTAAAGAAAACGTGGGGACACTAAAGCCTGGAAGCTTTGATGTTCTCCGCTCTCTGGTTCAGGACTTGGCCGTGTGCGAGGAGACAGCTGAGAAAGAAATGCACTGACATGGAGAGAGAATGGAGAGATGAAAAGAAAAAAGGACGCCCTTAGAAGCATGCTGTATCTCTCTCTCTCTCTCTCTCGCTCTCTCTCTCTCTCTCTCTCCTGCTTTCTCTCTCTGTCTCTCACCTCTCCTTTCCTCTAAAGAAACTTAGATAGAGTAATTCTCCTGTGGACACTTCCAACCTCAGCCTATTCTCTGAATCTTTTGTCTTTACTTCCCATAAGGGAACGGACGTCTCAATTGAACAGTTGAGGCTTCTTCCTCTTTTGCACTGTTTTTAGTTTCCTTTTACTTCAGCAGCAGCAGCAGCATGGGTACCCCCTTGGGCCAGACATTTCTGCACAATTACCAAAGGCTCTTCGAATTTGCTTATGCTATAAAGTTAGCCAGGGTTGGCACTCTAAACTCTGCCGTACAGGCACTGGTGCATATTCACTGCGGAATTTGAAATTATAATCAGCATCAGTGTGCAGCAGGACTTAGTAAAGCAGCTAGCCTAATAGCTAACTGCTTTACCTTTTATTTGTTTCAACATCATGTTCCTCTGCCAGGCTCAGACTACCCATAGGGAGCACCAGGAGTCTTCCTGGTGGCTTGGCCTGTCAGTTGCCTGAGGCCCAGATTATCAAGGTATCGACTCATGGGCACAAGTTTTTGGTGGGCCCCTTCCTGGCTTCTTTTTTTGGCTGGTCAGTGATACAATATCACAGCAGGTTATGTAAGGACTATGCAGCACAATGGCAGTTTACTAACTGCAGTGGTGAACACATATTTTTTTCCAGTCAAGACGACACAATAGCAAAGCTGTGCACATTAACAAGAGCACAGGTTAAAATATACCCAACAGCCAGCGCAACATTTCCCTACAAAGCATGCATCCACTATTCACAAGCAAAATATTTACCCAAATGAAGACGACAACTTTAAATCAAACAGCTAAAATGTACATAAAAAAGACAGAAGAAAGCACAAAACTCAAACCGTCAAGCATCTTAAGCTAAAGCATACCGCCATAGCGAAAATGTTTGTTTTTTTTTCATTTATACATCACTTCTGATAACTTTATGCATGGAAGTAGATGGTTCGCAAATTACTACCAACAAGGCTGCCATTTTATATGTGATTTTAGAAATGAGTATCCTCTAATCTGTCAAAGTATCAGGTCTCGCTTTAACAGATCTCCCAGGCACATCTTTTGAACATTTGGAGCTTCAAATTCAAAGTCCACTCAAAGTAACACCAGCTCACTGCTAAAAACCTTGAACGCTTGACTTAGGTATAGTGGATAGTTGATCAGTTGCTAAGCAGTAACTGGAGAAGAAAATGAAGTGGCGTCACGCCCTTGGCTCGGGGTTTCCCTCCTCACCTGCAGATGTCACTCTCACCTGAGCATTAATCAGCTAACTGCACACATGAATCCTATTTTATCTTTGGTCTTTCTCTTTAACTGCCTGTATTGTGTTATGGTCTGTGTGAAGTCTTGTTTGTAACTCTAAGCCTTGTGATTTATGTTTTTCAGTTTTTCTTGTTTTTGGATTCTATCCCTGTTTGGTTGCCTTGGACTGATTGTTTTCCCTTCTTGAACTGGACTGGCTATTGTGCTATTGGATTTGTTTTTCCCTGCTGTAAATAAAGTTTGGCTCATGCCTGGATCATTTAATCAATAATCACTGTTACAAGCAGACATTCAGGAAAATGTGGAGAGTGTCAGGATTTTGACTGACCGTAACAGAATGACAAATTTAAAATTATTTTTTCGCTGTGCCACTAGTAAGGTTCCCACCATGAGTTAAAACCATTGTTGTCATAAATATTCCCATAAAACTGCAATTAAAGCCAAAATGGATAGTTGTTTATTTTTTTGTTTGTTTGTTTTAACAGCAAAGCAAATGGAATGTAATTAGCCGCACTTTCAGGATATCCACCTATTTTTTGCATTATGCATACTACTACTATAATACTCATATTGTGATGATAAAAATATGACTGATTATGCAGCCCTAAAAGGAAGGCTATTAAATGGAGACACAGGATTGAAAAAAACTAAAATGGAAAATGTCAAAGAGCACCTGCACTTAAAACCATGTCTTTTACGTAGTTAACTCCTCTTGAATGGCTTATTATGATTATATATATATATATATATATATATATATATATATATATATATATATATATATAATACCGTTTTATCTGTTATGTTTTACTTAATTGTACATTGTTCCGTAAATTGAGCTGCTACAATGCTGACTGGATGCACAAACCATTATGTTTACAAACATTCTGTTTTGGTCTAAAGCAGGGTTCGGCAACATGTGTCTCCAGAGCCCTGTTGCGACTCCACAGCAGAATTAGATTTTTAGGTAAAAATAAAATAATCCTCCTTTGCACTAAAATAAAGCTCTCCTGATTGTTCTAACACAGTTTTAACAATAAATGGGCTTAAATTAAGTTAATGTATAACTGTTAATTCACCCTTTTACTCTGAAGATCGGCACACAGACAGCTGGTCACATAGCAACAACAATAATCTGGCCTAACTAGTAGCTATTGAAAAGACAAAGAGAAAGATTTAAGACGAACATCGATGATTTGGTAACTAGTCGACTTATTTGCGTTTAAAATCACTCCAGCTGGTTTCCTGATACATTTAATCTGCAATGAGAAACTGTCAAACACTAAATAGTGGTGAGGCTGAATGGTACAGCAGTTCTGGCGCCTCATGCACCATTTATGGTAGAACGGGAAAAATCAAACAAAAAACTGGCGAATGAGAAGCTGACTTCAGCCTTGTAAAAAGTTGAAGGTTGAGAGACAGTTTACAAGAAACTATTCCACTTTAGTGAAAACGTTTTCTACTGGAGATGTGAGATAAGCAGCTATAGCTGAGCTAAAGCTTAAAGCAGAGCAAAGTGAGTCTGTGTTTTCCTTTATATTATATTTTTAGCCTATACTAGGACTACTGAGACATACTTACAGCCATGGTAAAATGGACATACAATGTTGTGGCTCCCAAGGTGGTTTAATTTTTGTTGAAAAGACAAAATGGCTCTTCTTAACATTTGGGTTGCCGACCCCTGGTCTAAAGTATGTGGAACTGTGCTGATAGCAGGTAGCAGCAGTTTAGAATGCTACAGCTTCATAAACCACTGTCTTTGTTAGCACAAGTGGCTACAGCTAGCTTAGTGAGCAGGCCAAAAAATAGCTCCATAACACACTGAATACAATTCAATATTTTCTGATTATTAATATGAAAGTGGGAGTTGGTTTGTTTCTGTTGTGCTCCGTCTCATTTGGTCAACCTTTAAGTATCTGCTCAATCTAAAAAGCACATGTCCATGGTGGTGAAGGGAACAGGTGGGGTTTGGGAACTGGATGACAAAGGGGGCATTTACAACATAATCATGCATATTCATAAATCTTTCATTCATAATGAGTATTAAGTTTGTTCCTGTAAAAGATTTTGCAACATTTTTTTATTATTTAATATATGACTTCAGGCATACTTTAAAATAAAATGGGGCTACAAGAAAAAAAAACAAGCCAATACAGAGGTATGTCACCTATCTGCTGTTGATGGTAGGGACTTTGTTTAATTTGAATCGCGTTAAATTCATTTTATTTTCATCTAAGGCAGAAAAAAAAACTTGCGATCCTGTGATGAAACGCTCAAGGATTCATGTAGTGGCCAAAAACTCACATGTTTGAAGTTACGGAAGGGCACGAACTGGACAATATCTCGGAGGACGGGTTCTCCTTTGGGAGAGCGCAGAATTCCGTCGTCTCCATCCAACATTTGCATGTCACTGAAGTCAGCGTTGCCCACGCCCACGATGATGACAGACATTGGCAGGTGAGAGGCGTGAACGATGGCCTCCCGTGTGTCCGCCATGTCTGTGATCACTCCATCTGTCAAGATCAACAGAATGAAGTACTCCTAAAAGAGAGAAAGATAGAAAGAGAGGGGGTCAGTACACATGCATAAGTTCAGTGGTTTGCATTCTACTTTTTAGTCCCCAGATCCAGTCAGTGGGCAGTATGTGTGCCTCCCATTAACCCAGTTACAGTGGCCCAATTTCACCCTCTCATCCTCTCTTCTGTCTCTCTGTTAATGCCTCCTTTTCCCCTCTCTCCCTTCCCTAACTCAATTTCACCCACTCACCAAATGTGTTTAAACAGTTTAATCTGCACTGTTAATCCATCATGATCCACCTTGAGTCATCACTGTTTCTATCAGTGGTTACTAGTTAGAGCAGTAGAATACTACAGAAGATGTATAGTAAATGGTAAAAACAATTTTCCAAAACATGCAGGTGTATTACAGGTATTGGAATGCCTGAATTTAGAACTTTGCTACAGTAACAGTGAATAACAGTTGTCTGTTATAATTCTTGACGAAGTGGCAGAACACATATAAACACAGACATAACGCGTATAAAGAGACCTGATACCAATTTTTTCTCACAAAACCTCTCCAGATCCTACAGTCTTTATTCCTGCAGCTTCTCAATGGGTTTTTAAGCTAAGGAAGTGGAGCAGTAACAGTAAAAACTTGATTCTGTATTCAGTGACCTATTCTTGTGTGAATTTAGAGGTGGATCTTTGTCCAATTACTCATGCTCCACTGCAAAAGGGGGATCTGAAATTAAAGCTGACATTCTGCACTTTAACCTTACAAGCTCTGTTTCATTTCAAATCCAGTGTACTGGGAGAGCCAAAACAATAAAACTGTCACTATCCAATTACTAATGACACACATAGTATAGATATAAATGTAATATGTCACTTTCACAAAGGTATATATGCATACATACCATGGCCTCCTTGGTGTGCATCTCCTCAGAGGCAGAGTTAGCTACCTTCTGGATGATTGGGGCAATGTTAGTGGGGCCGTAGAGCTGGATCTTAGGTAGACAGTTCTGATAGGCTTCTACAACACCCTGGATACCTGGCAAAGACAAATAAAAGCTCACGTTTAAAAGGGAACATGGATTCTGCTTATTAATTGGCTCAATGGCTCTCAGCATTTTGTGACCTCAAATATGTAAGCTGGGGTTTCTGACTCCCTTCTTCATGTTCTACTGAAACACACTACAGCAGCCTCAGTCTTACCCCTAGATTTTCTTCAGGCTGAGTTGTAGACCCTTCGAAGCTATGGGGGGGTGGGGGGAGTCGCTAATCAATCATTAAATATATAATAATCAACTATTAGTTTCCCATTATTTAGTTATTAGTTAACTCTTCATTAAGCATTAGCTATTACTTAGTAATTGATTAAGCACTTATCAATTAGTAATTAAGTACACTGTTAGTTGATAAGCTAGTTTGTCGATAGGCTTACTTACTCATTATCTGTGTGCTAATTGCTGCTTATTACATTGTTAATTAACTAATAAGTATTTTTCTTCATATAAAGAGGTAACGTGATAACTTACTAGCACTTATGTGTTAATCCCGCTAATTATCTGTTAATTAACTTTCCATCACCTCCATATATTCAGTTGCTTCACTTTTCTTACTTTGGTTCTTGTTCATTAAAGATGCTTATGGTCACATCTGACCGTAAGATGAGCGCACACAAATTCATGGACGGTTTTGTTATTCATCACGTTCATTTTGGAATATCTGTACTCATATCTGGTAGGAGTGCATGTAAATTTGGGCATAAATGCTGGATATGTGGCTAATTAACCAAAACTATTATCAACATAATCTGTAATTGCAAAAATAAGAACAACAATAGAAAATTTCAATAAATACTAATTTGTGTGCATGACAGTCCAGTACAAAAGTGGATGTACTTACTTTACATGCACGTTGATATAAACAAGTGCTGCAACTATTTCATGTTCCATTTAAAGACACATTACACTGTGCTTTTGTTGTCATACACTGCAATAATACAGCGTTTATTTTAGGGAATTAATTACACTAAACAATCACTCTACTATGTTAACAACACTGAGAGTGTTTAGTTTTATTTCACATTTTATAATCACTTTATAATGTTTTTCCAGTTGTTTTCATTTTAATTCTATTGAGTTTGGTCAGCAGGGGAGGAGTGCACTCACTGCTGGACATCAAACTCCACCCATGAGCACGGCCATTAGCTTTCATGCCAAACACTGCCGTTTTATTGGCTGGCTACTGAAACATCTGCATGAATTAGTGTGTGCTTCATGTAAATGATATGTAAATGAGGTGCTGGTAGGCTGGTTTCATGCACTGAAGCTGATTTATCATTTATGCTCAAATCTCCACTTGTTTCCACATCGTACAAAATTGTTTGAACTTTGATGATTAATGGGCCCTTTTCACAAGATTCGTGATTACTTCCGGTTTAAGCATTAGCAGGGTAAAACTCACTTCCTCTCCATAAAGCTACTGCAGACGCGATGTCAAAATGTTTAGTAGTGAACTGTAACACTCAAACACTGAGCTACAACAGCTGTATTTTAGTTTTCCTGCACGGTTGTGACAGTGAGAGTAAGAAGTGGACGGAAGCTCTGATTTAACTGTAAACAGAGCTGAGATGCTGTATGTTGCAATCACATTATCTGTTTCTTCTGAGCTCAACTTAATTTCTATTATGTAGACCTAACACCTTGCATTAACATGTGTTCCGTGCCCAAATCCTATATGGATATACTATTTACATGGAAAAACATACAAAAGAAAAACTGCATGAACAAAAGTAAACGGTAGTTAAAGAAGAGTTATCCTGACTCTATGGCAGTACAGGGTAAGTATATTTAGGCCGCAAGGCCGTGAAACTACACTTTCAGTTAGCTTTGCTCATATTTTCCCTCAGCTTTCTATCAGCCTGAGAGGAGGACCATTGAGCTAGCCTACTTCTCCTACTAACACTCTCCCACACCTCTTATAGGATAAGCCCCTGTACACGCCCCTGTATTACTTGAGCTAAACCATTCCACCACAGGGGTGTTGCTATCCTACAAGGGAGGGGTTAAAAAAGGGTAAGTACAAACAATCCAAAAGCAATCAACATCACGTGGCCTTAATATGTTATGCTACTGGTAGGAATACTTTAAATAAAGTGTGCACATTCCATAACCTGTCTCTCTTTCTCTTATAGGCACTCATGAGTGAGCTCAGTCTACTCTGCCTCCCTTTTACTGACTCTGCTAGGGAACAGACAACAGCTAAGTATTACAGGTAAGTACTGGACTCACACACACAGAGATTCTTACAGTCTCTCTTGTGATGGGAAATACCTTTGCCTTGTCGCAACCAAGAGCTATCTCTCTTTTGCCCAGGGTCTGGACATTTATATGTGACTCTAATATTATCACTACTATCACTCTGATAACTATCTGTAATCTAATATCTTCAAAAAGAATTAAAAGAATCAAAGAATATCAACAAAAATGAAAAAGGAAAAAAAGGAATGCAAAAGACTTCAGCGGCGCTGAGTTCTTGTGGAATGAAGGAAAAGGCCTTCGCTTTATTGAGCATCAAATGGCAAGATGGTTCCCGGTCAACCACAATACCAAGAACAACTCAAAACATCCCTTTTTTATTCCCCCCTGGGGTGATGAGGTAATCTCCCCACCCCAGTTCCACAATTCCATACCATTTTATTCCCCATCATGTCCTTAAACCTTTTTTGGTAAGCTTTAAAACCAAACGCGTATGGTGTCTTTTTTTTTAAAAAAAACCCACTCTGTTCTGACTCTTACCAGATTGTTCTCTCCTTACAGGGCCCTCTTGTGCAGCTCTCCATAGAGCATCTCATACAACCCTCCATATACGTACAAGAGTGAACCTCAGCTATAACTTAATCTGTCATCTGGTACAGCTCCCTTGTGTGAGCTCAGAAACTTTTTCCCTGTTAGAGAGTCTACTGCATGTAGTCCATAGTCTGCTTCCGTATATTACCTTAATAGGAGGGTTCTCTAGTCAGCCAATGTTTAGTTTATTGATTACTAATCAGGGAATGTTTTATTCAATTTTTCCCATCAGCCTCAACACAGCTGGATTTAGAAACAAATGTTTCTGGCCGTTGCTACTCAGCGTATTTAGTATCCTAGCCTGCATCCATATTAAATATTTTACAAATAGTGTAAAATGAAAAGAATAGTGTTTATATAATCTTATGACCATGTGTGACGTAATCTTCTGGGTTTGTAAAAAATACAACCCACTAGAAACTCTCTCATCATGTGGTAATTTTATTGCCATTTAGATGAGAGTTTTATCACTTGAAAGACATGCAAAACCTTTACCGTATATGTCCCCTCGATAAATTGATTTAATCCGCACAGGGCTTAAGACACATTTATTCATTGAAGGGACATAAACTCAGGGTTTGACTACAAAAAAAAAATAAATTCTAACACACTTTGTGTGCAACATCGAGCCTTCCACAGCTATGTGAATCTGTGATAAGTTCACTTCACATATAAAGATCAGTGTGGTGTCCTAACATCTTACTTTTTTGTTGTGCATGTTGGTGTGTGGAGGCTAAAAATATAACACCAGATGCTGGAGGACACAAACACACTCACCAGCACACTCTGGGTTGTCCTCATCAAAGTTCACAGCAAAATCATGAGAGACCTGAAGAGTAGAGAGCTTAATTAACTCTTTCATTACACTGATGAAATAGGGATAAGGAATCAAATAGATTAGGGATAATGGATGCTTCTTTCTGAACTGCTTGCACATTTGAAATGAAGATGAATCAAGAACCAATATGAATGAAGAGCCAAGCGTATGAACCGTGAACACACTTGATATGCAAAACCATTCTGATCAGAGTTGTGAAAAGTCAACTGTAGTCTTCGTTTGGCATGCTGTTAGTGAGACCTTTCTGCATAATGTATTTGACGGACTCAGCCATTTTTAAGGTTTATTTAAATTCAGGGCGAATGCAATGAATGAGACTGGATTATGCATAAAACATGCCAAACCCCTCCTTGCTCTGAGTTTTTTAAGCAAGTCAAATACAGTTGCTGAGTCGCATCCAATCACATTTGGCTATGTTAATATATGGTCTCTGACCGGCACATTTCAACCAATCAGATGTCCTGAGGTTGCAGGACTCGGATTAGTGAAATGAGATGGTGATTACAGTGAAATGGCCTCAGAAGGTCATGAATAATTCAGAAATCTCCTGTCAGGTAGCTGTGATATTCCAAGCACTTGGGTTTCCATGGCAATTTACTGTGCTAGTTTAGGATCTTGCTGAAATCTCTTATCTCTGTCAAGTTACAAAATCCAGCCAGCAATCAGAGCAAGGCTAGTGACCTCTGAGAGCTTTATGAGATACATCTATTGGATAGGATCATACAAATGGTCCACTGGCCATATGCTGCTTTAAAGTGCAAGAGGCATTGCAGTTTTCTCCAAGGAAAAACTTGTTCACCCAATGTGCATATTTGTGCGGTTTATTGGAGAGATAAACAGAAAGGGTGTGAAGTAGCTATTGTAGTTTATTAGGTAGCTGACATCTATTGGTTTTGGCTTATTTTACTATAATATTTTTATATACACATTTAGGTATAGTGGACCGTAGTAAGTTCAAACTCATTTGTGACATACAAAACTATGCTGCCACGTAGCGTAGCATAGTTTTGTATGTATATTTTCACATTCTTCAGATGTACTATGAACGTGTAAGTTTTCAATAGAAAAATGTGATCCATCCATGACATTTAAGAAGAGTTACATTTTGAGTGCAGCATGTTTTTAACACAAGAACCTTACGTAATGCAGCTTTAATGTTTGCCAAAATAAAATTTTTCCGCATGCTTTCCTGAAGCACTTTTAGCTTAAGAACACTGCATTTGATTTGTGTCTACATCTAAACTGTTTGCGTGTTTGTGAATGTTTTTGTCAACAGTTGTAACTCTGTGCTAATTGCTAAATTACTGTCATCTAATTCGAATGAAATTAAGCAGCTAACAGGGATTATTTTGGCATTATTTTGGTTTCGCAAGTGCAAGAGATGATGGCACACTGATGTAGAATTACCATAATTACACACTCAAAAAACAAACAAAAGGCTAAAATGACAAATACCCAAAACATGCATGGGACATGTATAAATCAATCATTAATGCTTAATAAACAATTGTCACATTTCCATCTTTAAGTACCAGTTTAAGCATTGCTACATTAGCAAAAGCATGCAGATTTACCAGCTTTTTGGAATGGTATCAGTTAAATGTTGGTGACATTGGTGTGGGTGGTATAGGTAGGAGAAGCTGACTTACTTTGAAGTCAGGTGGGATCTGCGCTCCAAAGCCAAATGCTGGAAACATTTTATCACTGAAATCAGAGTCAGAGGGTCCAGATGATTAATGGTAGTGAGATGAATGAGATACAGTCTGAGGAACGAGCTGCAGAGAGGTATGACATTGGAAAGGGTCAAATATAATTGGCTCAGTGCTTGAACGGTGCACTCATTCAAGCGCTGATGTGATTGAGTGGCCCAAGTAGTGTATTTGCACATTATCCCTGATGTCACTGCAATAAGCATTTCATCAACATCCAGTCAAAGGGTATGATTTGCTGTGAGTGGACCAAGTTCTATAAACAGGTGCTAAACTGACAGAGATTATTGGTTAGTTTATTTATTGAAGTGATTGTAATCACAATTGATTGTAACAGATTTAACAGCGCTATTTTAGTTGCTATTTAACTCTTAAATATATAAAGGTTTAGCTAGCCATACATGCATACTTCAGATTATTAGTCACCTGACACAGTAATGTGCTAAAGGCAACCAAGAAAACTGTTTAAAACTCTTTATCTCAGCAATAAGTACCAGTAAAACACTACAAGATTAGAATAAACACAAATAAACATACAGTTGTGTGCAAAAGTTTCAACAACGCTGGTCAAATTACATTAGTATGACTGTGCCCCTGTGCACAACGCGAGGCGCATAAAGGTTTGATGAGTTTGGTGTGGAGGAACTCCAGTGGCCTGCACAGAGCCCTGACCTCAATCCCACTGAACACCTTTGGGATGAACTGGAATGTCGACTGCAAGCCAGGCCTTTTCATTCAACATCAGTGCTTGACCTCACAAATGCTCTTTTGACTGAATGGGCACAAATTCAGACGTGTGTCGGTGGCCTTTCCAGAAGAGTGGAGGCTGTTATAGCTGCAAATGAGGGCAACTCCATATTAATGCCCATGGTTCTGGAATGGGATGGAACAAGCTCATATACTTGTGATATTCAGTTGTCCACATACTTATATACTCATAGTGTATCTTGGTTTGAGCACTACAGTTAGAAAAACACAGGTTTGGTTTTGTTCCTGACGTCTTGGTGAAGTCCAATTCATTGCATAGATTTGCTTAATTCCACCAGCAGTAAGACCATTTAATATGAATAATGAAGGACTGATTAGTAAAGCAGGTATTGGATGGTTTTTTTGCAGAACTCTTCCTTTAATATAATGAGAATAAAGAGTGAAAGGAGAATGAAGAGTTTGGTCTAATGATTTATACCAGGCTCAGCAACCCAAATGTTAAGAAGAGCCGTTTTGTCCTTTCAACAAAAATCAAACCATTTTGGGAGCCACAACATTTTATGTCCATTTTACCATCTTGGTTGTAAATATGTCTGCTTTAAGCTTTAGCTCAGCTATAGCTGCTTTTCTCGCATCTCTGGCAGGAAACAAAAGTAGAATAGTTTCTTGTAAAATGTCTCTCAATGACTGATTTTTTACAAAGCTGCAATCAGCTTCTCATTCACCAGCTTCTTGTTCGAATTCTCCCGTTCCACCTTGAATGGCACCTGAGGTGCCAGAATTTAATGTTGCATTTAAGGTGGAACGAGAAAATTCGAATGAGAAGCTGGCAAATGAGATGCTGACTTCAGCTTCACCACTACAGGGGCTGATTTAGTGATTCTGGGGTCCTGGGAAAAAGACAGGAAGGGGCCCCCCGGACGCATATTTTTAATTAGTTGAGACTCTGGGCTCCTGAGTGGCGCAACCATCTACACTGCAAAAAATTATATTTTGGCAAGTGAACTCATTTTAAATCTAGTGGATATATCTCTATTTTTTTCATTTTGAGATTGTTGTAAGATTATTATAAGACTTTTACATTTATTTCTAGATATTTGTTACTTATTTTCAGTAATTTAAGTGATGAAAAACAAAGTTAGCTCTGGTTAGCGTGATGACTTCTTGTTTTCCTTCTTCTTTCTGAGTTTCTCTGTTACACTTGAATCACCTAGAAAATCACACTGAAGAACCACCTCTCCATTATGTATATTATTGTATAAGTGTCTTGTTTATGCCAATCTGTCATTACACAGTTATGTCATCACATAAGTACAGGGAATAGTCCATTATAATCATGACCAGGGGTGTGGGTTGGGGGTGTGTATGCATGTGAATTGCTGACAGTTTACCTATGATTACTGACTTTAATTTAAACGATTATGAAGCATCATCATCATCATCATTATCACTTTTATTTATATAGCGCCTTTCCCATGCTCAAGGACGCTTTACAATCAAAGAGCATCAACAAATTAAACAACAACACATTAAACAAAAGGACAATACAGGTAAACATTCAAGTATAAATGAAACAGCAATAACACAGTGAAAACAAGTACTTTAACTGAGATTTAAATAAAGACAGAGAGGTTGCATCCCAAATAGACTGTGGGAGCTACTATATTAAATGATCGACCACCCATAGAAGCCAATTTAAATCTAGGAACATGAAGTAGGCCTAGATTTTGTGATCTCAAGGTACGGGATGGGATATATAGATGAAGAAGCTCTGCCAAATATTGAGGAGCCAGACTGTGCAGAGCTTTATACATTATAAGGAGAACTTTGTACTGAATATGGAATGTAATGGGCAACCAATGAAGACTCTGAAGAACAGAGGTGATGTTCTTTTTAGAAAAGGTGATGATCCTAGCAGCAGCATTTTGAACATACTGTAACCTAGTGAGGGTTTTGACAGGGAGGCCAGGAAAAAGAACATTGCAGTAGTCTAACTGTGATGTCACTAATGCATGCACAAGTGTTTCTATATTGGCTTGGCTGAGAAATGGTCGGAGGCGAGAAATATTGCGAAGATGGAAAAATGCTATCTTAACAACAGATTTCAGTGGTGGCTTGCATATTCACAGAAATAATCTTTCATTAACTGATCATTTGAGAAGATGATGAATAGCATGCTTCATTATGGTTCAGTCAGGTGGTCAGTAGATGGTCATTTACCTGTCATAGTCTTGGCAGATCTCGCCCACGGCCACCAGTGCTTTAAGGTACTCGTTTGGCTGGTATGGGTGGATGTAATGTAGAGAGCAGCTGTTCCGTGGGTCACCGTTTGAGGCGGTGAAATCAATCGCCACCTGCAGACACACGCCGCTATCATTACTGACAGTGATTACCGCTAATTAAAACTCCCACACCAGCAACAACTCACAAATTATGCCTCAGTGACTTCCCATCTGGCCTGAGGAGATTTGGATAGTATCTATATGTTTAACCCTTAGAAGTCACAGTTATAGCTAGTATTATGTCACAGTTATTTCTCGCTCATAGCTCAATGAAATAAGCAGAGGAATTTAGTTGGATTCTAAACTTTTTATATACCAAATCGTGTGTAAACATAGATTGGCTATACTTCCAGGTGGATAACTTCATTCAGTCGATGTGGAAGCAGCCTAATTTATGTCACAATTTAAAATAAATTCAAACAGAACACACATAGCATTGGCAATAACAGTAAACTCTTGCTGTGTTTGAGGCTGGAAGGGCAAATGTACCCAAGTATGTAATGGATTTTACTTTTAATTTTTTTTAGTTTTATGGTTTTTCAGCTTTTTACAGCAAATAGAGCTGCTATCCCACTGTTTGGCCACACTTGCAGGTGAAGCTAATGACACTTCAGTGAATCCTTTACTATTCCACATGAGGACGAAGCTGCTATAGCACTTCTTCACTAATAAGATCACCAGAATGTAAACTAGGATGATGTTGATTGCTGTTTTTACAATTATTACTTTGTAGAGAATTTCACATAAGGCGACATAAGCTATAAGAAGCTAACACTGTTAGCATTTATGCTTGTGGCCAAGAAGTTACAGGTGATTATACACTAATGAAAAACTATATTCCATTTTGCTAATAGATTCCCCTAAATCTTACACATTGCACCTTTACATCTGACATACTGTGTTATTTCAGTATTTCATATCAGCTAAGGTAAGCTAACTAGAAAGCATAGTAGCTAATTAGCCAAATTAGACACTTTAGAGCAAAATAAAATGACCACAAAGGCCATTAAATTGTTAGTCGTGGTTATTACAATGGTTCCAGCTGTCACTTGAGCTGGTGGGAAATGAATTAGAACTAGAAACATATGTTCAGTTGGATTAAGTGAACGTTTCTTCCGTAAACACTGCAATAAAATGTGTGGCTGGTGAATGTTCATGACTGTGTGACAAAATTTAACCACAAAAAGTCGTGAGCTATGTCTTAAACTGTGCCCTGTTCACTTTACAGTGCACTATTTTGGGGGTCTGCCATTTTCTGGTGGTGTCTGAAAACACAGTGCAGAATATCCTGTGCACTCAAACAATTCATCTCACAATGCACAGTAATACAGTGTACAACCAATGTACACTAGGGAATAAGGAATACTGATAATGCACAGTGCTGTTCGAAGATTTACCTGCAACTTCTCTGATTAGGATTAGCGAGCCCAGTTACAATGACAGCATCTCCACAGACCTCTCTTCAGACCTGTTACAAATGTAAGTGGGCTTTTCTCATGTGTGCAGTCAAACTCACTGGTTATAGTGGATTGGAGGCATGACATTTATATTGTTTATGCGACAGAATCTGAAATTGTTTACTGTCATTACAAATTCTGTTCAAGAATTTGTGTTCTATATAGAGATCCAGATTTTATAATGTAAAGTGATTAGGAGACCATTTCAGACATGTTTGGACACGGCGGTGAAGTTATTGACCTGGAAAGATCAGTTTAGAAGATATTTTTCCAATATCTTGGTTAAATTTGTCTCAGGATTAGAACAAAATCCTGGTGTATCAGTGCAGCACCACCTGTTTATCCTCTGGGAAGTAAATTCTTTGCTGATGTGACATAACACTGATTTGTCCTATAATACTAGATAATACAAATACTTGAATTTGATGAAAAAGCTTGTGATTTGATGACAATTGTTGCACATATCTTTGAAAAAAAAAAGTATCTTTAAATTGACCTTATTCAAATGTGTGCATTTGTTCCACATGAATGAAATATATCACTTCAGCACAATGACTGCTGCTCATTTTACTTACTTTTGGTAAGAATTGTGAGCTCTGTCCTGATTGACTGTTCTGTATTAGGTCTTATTTAAAAAGCAGTCCAGGCAGAAACACTCTTTATAACGTCTGTGTGAATGGGTGGGGCTAAACTACTATAGTCTATATAGGCAGATGTGAATGTGTTGGTTTTTGTGACATCATGAAAACAGTGAATTCAAAATGGGCTGTTTTTGCAGCTTAGTTTGCATATGTGGACTGTATGGACTGAAACCCTAAATGTTTACATCTTACATCAAACTCTTATTTCAACACAATGAGGAAAATTCAGTTTTCCATGATAACAGCCATTAGAAAGAAAAAACAAAATTCGATTCTTGACATTTCTTGAACTCAATACAATTGGAAGACATTCAAAAGTGCTGACTTGAACTTGTCAGTATTGCAAATCGAATGTACATGTAATATATAACTCAAAATATAACTAAATATGTATTTATGTACTTATATTTTATCAGTACAGCAAAACAACAGTAATAACTCTAACGTGAGGGTTTAAGGGGAATTACAGCGCTTTTTCAAAATTTTCATATTAATTCAATAATTGAGATGTAAACAAAATTATTCAGAGTGGTTTTATGTGAAATGCACCATTCTAGAGAAACTTTCTGAGACAGAATTGTTCACAGTGGTGCTGATAGGAACCAGACATTTGTTGAATGCCTCTTGGAGTTACTTCACAGAAAGCAATTATTTTAAATGGTTATAAATACTTTGCCTCATACCTAACCTGTTTCAGAATAGTTTTCTGAAAAGCTTTTGGCCTAAAATGTATTTTTTAAATCCATTCATGACAGAAAGGCACAGAGTATGCAAAGGTTTGGGCACCCCTTGTCCAATGACATGTTTGTTGATTTTACAAGTGAAAATAAGTCAACAAATCCTCTACAAAGAACGCATTTCTGCACATTTTAATGCACAGTTTTTGTTTACTTGCTGAATTTAACATGGGGAAAAATTCAGCAAATAAATAGAAATGTGAACAAAAAATTGCCAAAAAATGGCATTAAGTTTGCTCCCTGTATTTGATGTATTAACTTATTTTCACTTAGTAAATCAACAAAACATATAATTTGACTGAGGGTGTTCAAACTTTCGCATCCCACTGCACATGCAGGTTATTGGGAGGCAGTACAGTACCCCCCCCCCCAAAAAATGTCTTTTTTGGATGTACCACTTTTTTTACCCTTATCAACATTACATACAAAAACTCCTGTAGAAGCAGGTTCACTGGTAATTTCAGATCCCGAAAAACAGAAGCCTTTAAGCCAGCTCTGTTTTAAAGATGTCTATGGCTGTTTCTGGTTGTTCGACCAAGTTAAATGCAGCTGCTGATTTGAGACCAGTTTCATTTATCTTAGTGCTGATGCCAGGAAATAGACTGAAGAAGCTGATCTCAGAACAGACCTTACAGACAGTCTCCCTGGAGACTGTGCATCTGCAGTGTTTACTCATTAATAATGGAGCGCTGTGGTGTTTTCAAGCAGTCAAAGATGGGAGATCCCCTTCAGAATCACTTACTGTGAACTGGATCTGACAACCGCCCATTATATAATCCAGAAACGAGTGCATCTTTATGATCTGAAAGGAAAAAAAGGAAAAGACATTACTGATCAAACAAAGAGCTGTCTCACAAGACCAGAGGACCTTCTGCAAATCTCTGACATATTTTTATACAGCTGACTTCTCTGTTGTATAGTTCTCTGTTTAACAAATCTATTGTGCTGTAGCAGAAGGCAAGTAGACAGAGATTTGAAGAAACTAGGCACCAATAAAAACACAAAGGCAGCTCCCTCACCTTACACTGGGTCAGCATCACCACCCCAGAGTTTCTGTAGTTCTTCTTCTTCACTTGATACTTGGGATTGATGCATTCCCACTGAATCTGTTTTTAACAGGAAGATGAGAAAAATAGTCTTTCCTTAAAGCAAGTGCTTGGTGGAAAATCAAATGTACACAATTGAAAGTACTGGATCAGACGAGACATGTTTAGTATTTGAAGCCTGAAAGAAGATCTACAAGGCTTTGAAGATCTACAAGGCTAATGTAGCCAAGGCTGAATGTAAACTTTGTCAGGCAGCATTGGTGCTAGAAAGGCTGCAAGTGTTATAGCACAAATGAACTTTTTTCTGCAGGCCCCTAGAGAGGGGCTCAGATGTATCCGTCTTAATGTAATCAAATGAAATATTTTTCCCCTGTAAGTCTTTCATCAGTTTCGTCTCACTTTATTTGGATAGTCCACTATAGCCCCCTATAGATTATCTAGAGATGTTCAAATTGTTAACAAACTATCTGTTAAAACTTTATTCTAAACAGTGGTGGGGTTAGGGTTAAGATTTGTACCAGGGTTTAGAGCTAGGACCAGGGTGAGGGTTGGGTTTAGGTTTTGGGTTAAGGTTAAGGTCAGGGCTAGGATTAGAGCCAGGTGTAGAGTTAAAGAAAATGATGGTCAATTTAGTAGATATTTAGCTGAATATAACTTGAAAGTAAATTAATTATCTACAAGACATCTAAAGTGGACTAACCAAATAAAGTGTTACCGATCAGTTTAACTAGGACATTGCTGATTCTGTGTTGAGCTGCTAGTGAGCAATGAGAGGTGAAAGGGGAGGGCAGAGAACCCCCTGCTGTGAAAACAATTTACAACTCTCCACAAAGATGGCCATGCCAAGACAAAACTGACAGTACAACTGCAGCTTTCTTGATATCAAAGAATTTTGTATGACTGCCACAATAAAAAGCAGCATTTAAACACAATAAGAATAATTTTGTAAATGTTGACTTGCTTACTGACCTAGACAGAAATCCAGGATTCTTTTGGGTTTGTAAATCATACAAGCTTCTATTGCATTTATTAGCTCTTATCCTAACGTTAGGACAACATTTAGGAAATTTTATCTGGTTAGGATACTTCTGTAATGTTCTTTTCTCGTCTGGAGTTTGGATAAGATCATTAATTTAGAAATAGTTATTCTGTAATAGCTACTATCCTAAATTCAATCTTAACTGAAGTTGCCACTGTGACTAAACTTATAAGATTGCTAAGATGTTGCTGGCCTCAGGTAGCTAACAAGTAATGAAAGATTATGAGAAAAGAATTAAGATATTCATCTCAGTCCAAAACAGACTCATTCTCTTTGCATGCTTCATTAAACACAATGTTCTTTGTTCATCTGTGTAATGTGTACCAATTCAGATTATGCAAACTGAATGCCTAAATCATCACACTTTTCCCTTATTAAAGCATAGACAAAATGCAGGCCTCAAGATGGCAACTACTACTGTTTTTAGCTATGCAATGAGCTTTTATACATTTTTATAGATGACAGTATGTCATAAAGAATTAGAAATCACAGAAGCAAGCTTATTTGATATTATTTATTAAGTTGATGTGTTTTGAGACAAGTGTGTAATTTTAGGGATGCAGTTTGAGTGATGCTAATTGGTGGTTAGAAGCTTGTTAGCTACCTTAGCCTAACAGCAGTGCAAAATGAAAGAAACAAATTTCAGACACAAAACATCTCTGGGCTAAATGACTTAATTAGTGGTAAGGCAAAAGTGTAAATTCCTTAACATTAGTAGTCAAGTTCTAGAAAAATATTTCCTTTGCATATTTATGTTTTTTAGCATGCTACTCTGTTGGTCAATGTGATGTTTGAACTTGGCTATAAAGTCTTGATATCTAACTGTCTGATGAGATGTTTTAAATTTGTTCAACATTTTCAGAAGCACTTCAACCAATAAAAAAAACACAGGGACTCAACACAATGCACTACACACACAATTAAAGAAGGAAGGAGTTTTGTGCATTGGCTATAAGCACACCTCATTTGGCTAATTTGCTAAGCATATTCATGAAGAGTTTGTTGGAAGACACTTTAAACATCTTTGCCAATGATGACTGTAGTTCAACACAGCACTGTTATAAACATAGCAGAGTTTGAATACTTTCATAATAGATCTTTCCGTATGTCATTAGTTTAATAGTGCTTTTGATACATTTAATGGTGATAAGAAAGAGAAAAGAATGAAGATATTCATCTCAGTCCACAAGAGACTCATTCTCTTTGCATGCTTCATTAAACATAATGTTCATTATCCATCTGTGTAATGTGATATTGGTGTGGGAAGGGATTAATACTCTAGAATGTCCATTAAAACAAAGAAGTGTCCATTCACACACAGTTATAATGATTAAGGGACTTAATTTGATTAGCTGTCTGAATCAGTCGGGATGGGTCAAAGGTAAAAGTGAGGGCACACCAAATATATAATCACATTTAATCACATTTTGTCCACTACAGGATGATTGGCCATTGTAGATGTAAGTAGGAGCTAGGATGCTCCAAAGAAGTGTTGAACCTAAACCTGAAAAGAATATTCAGTCTAAGGAGTGTTTAAAACAGCACCAAAACTCGTGAGGAAAGTTATGAATGGTTACCCAAAGGATACGTGTCTTTCTTAGCATCAACTTTTTTGTCTAAGGTGAAATAAAGTACATCTCAATATTGTATTAATAAAAGATCAGTGATTTCTGAATTCTTTCTCCTAAACCCACTTTGGGGGAACAGAGAAGTTTAACATGAGCAATACTAGACACAAGAGAAGCAGGAGCAATTCTTCTATACTGATAGATTGCTAAGAGATTCATGAAATGCAGAAGAGAAATATAAGAAAATGATCTTTCTAATGTAAACATGGTAATTTCTAATGTAAATATTATTAAGCTAAAATGGAGCAAGATGATGAAGAGTTAAGCCATCTGTGAGGCATTATTTTGATCAAAGTGGAATAAAAATCCAAGGCTCTCAGGAATCTAATTTCAGAAAATTGCTTAAGTCCCTCACTGATTTCGAATAGGACTCATCCATGTCTTGGTGAAATAAATTAGATGAAGAGATCTTATTTCCAGGGAGGCAACTGAAGACCGCTTCCAAAACATCTTAAATGGATGATGCATTAATGCATTATGAGCAAGGATGGGTCAAGGCTGGTCACTTTGTCAAAAACTTTGTCAACAGTTTAAGAACAACGTACCTCCAAGAGCATTTGCAAACTTTTTAGGTATTTCACCCTCTAAGGTGCAGAATATCATTAAAATATTCATGGAATCAGCAGAATTCTTTGTGCGTAAAGGGCAAGGCCAAAAACATATTTAAAAAACTGCATTAAAAACCAACATGCTTCTGTAATTAACATACCCATGTGGGCTCGGGAACACTTCGAAAAACCTTTGTCAAATAAAGTTCATGCCTGCATCTACAGATGCAAGTTAAGACCCTACTACATAAAGTGGAAGCCATGTATCAGCAACATCCAAAAACACTGCTGACTTCTCTGTGTTACAGATCATCGGTGGAATCGTGGAAATGTGTGTTGTGGTCTGACGAGTCCACCTTTCAAATTATTTTTATAAATGATGGATGTTGTGGTCTTCGGACCAAAGAGGAAAAGGACCGTTTCGATTGTTACCAACACAAAGTTCAAAAGCCAGCGTCTGTCATGATATGGGGGACAGAGAGAGAAAGAGGCAGGGGGAGAATGAGAGAGAGTGAAGGAGGCAGTGGGAGAGTGAAAGAGTGTAAAGGAGGCTGTGAGAGAGTGAAAAAGGGTGAGGAAGACAGAGGAGAGTGAGAGCGAGTGAAGGAGGCAGCAGAACAGAAGTGCATGTTGGTCAATTTCTGTGGTCGATGTTCCAGTAAAAGATGTTATTTGAGTGCCGAGGTCTTTGTTTTCTAAATGTGTAACCAGTGTTTATAGTGTCTATTGTCAGCCATAAACATTTCAGTGCACTGTTATTCTTCTCCCAGAATGTATAAAAATGGCTGGTAGACTGTAGTGTGACCTACAGAAGCAAAAAGGTACAGAAAAGGAACTAAATCGTCATCTTTTACAGAACTAACAAAAATGTCAGGTTAAAACTAGCGCAGGCAGGAGGTTAGATGAATTTTAATATATATTTATGTGACAGTATAGTTTCACAAAGCCTTCAAAGAAGATATAAATATGTATTAAAATTGGTCTGACCTGCTGCCTCAGTTATTACCTGACATTTTTGTTAGTTCTATACAAGAAGAGACCTGTACAGGGTGTATCCTGCCTTCCACCCAATGACTGCTGGGATAGGCTCCAGCTCCCCCCGCGACCCAGAAAGACAAGCGGCTTAGAAGATATGTGTGTGTGTGTGTGTGTGTGTGTGTGTGTGTGTGTGTGTGTGTGTGTGTACAAGATGAATTTTAATATGTATTATGTGAAAGTATAGTTTCACAAAGCTTTCAACGAAGACATAAAGACATGAATTTAGCATGTAAATGAAAAACTGTGTATTTGTGAAGTTATTTTGAATTTTTTTATTTATTTATGTCTCCCCCTGCTCCTTGCCTCAGCATCAAAGTATACTACAAATCTGTGGGAAGCACTGCATTTAAAATATTTCTTTCCACTGGGTAAGGTTACAGCTTATCACTTACAACTTCATTACTGCAAGACTGGGTTACCTATAGACAAAATACAAACAATATGATGGGGGTATAATATACTAATGATAATGAACTACAATATAGGCTCTATAAAAACAGAGGCACGTTACTGGCAACTCACCTGCCAGTAGAATGTTGTAAATTGAAATGCTGACAGCAGTGTGTGGTAGTAAATAAATACAGTAATATTTTGTAAATGCTTTACAGTGTCTCTGTAAAAATACAGTAAATCAGTGGCAACTCTGCTGCTAGTAGAATGCTGCAAATTGATGCACCAAGTTATTAAAAACCTGCTATTTATGAAATTATTCTTGACTGCTATGTTGCTTGGCAACCACAGTCTACTGTTAACTCTATCACATCACTGGTGCTTCATTATGTGAATGTGCTGATGGCCCCTTTAACT